TTTGGGGCTTTTGTTTAGAATCCTATAAGGTAATCCCCAAAAGGAACTACTGAACTACTATGGGGCCTATGGGTATGTTTATGCAAAGACGGACAAGGTTCACACGTCGATTCCGCTAGCCGCTAGAAGCGGAGCATCCTAAAGCAAGCCCGGACACCGCTAGCCCGTGAAACCCTGAAGCCACCAGACCATCACTCAACCCTAAACCCTAAACCCTAAACCCTAAACCCTAAACCCTAAACCCTAAGCCCTAAACCCTAAACACCCAAAGTCCCTGAAACCCTCAAGTGCCTCCAGAACCCGAAAACAACCTAAACCCTTTTAACCCACCCTAAACCCCAACCCCATAGTCCTTAAAACCCCACAGCCCTACCACTAGGCCCTTCACCCTGAAATCCTTATAAAGCCCTTAACCCAAACCTTAAACCCTAAAACCCTACAAAGCCCTGAAGCCCTAAACCATGAAAGCCTAAAGCCGAAACCCTAAACCCTAAACCCTAAACCCTAAACCCAAACCCTAAACCATGAACCCTAAACCCTAAACCCTAAAACATGAAACCCTAAAACCCTATAAAGCCTAAGCCCTAAACCCTAAACCCAAACCCTAAAACCCTGAAAGCCTAAACGCTGAACCCAAACCCTAAACCCTAAACCCTAAACCCTAAACCCTAAACCCTAAACCCCAAACCCTAAACCAAGAAAGCCTGAAGCCCCAGAGCCGAAAAGCTCCCTGCAGGCCTTGACGACGAGAGGGGCCTGGGCTTCTGTGGGCTGGGAAGCCCCGGGGCACCGACGAGTTGCTTGAGGGTTTAAGGGTTTAGGGTTTAGGGTTTAGGGCTTAGGGGTTTGTGGTTTAGGGTTTAGGGTTTAGGGCTGAGGGCCTTTGCAGTTTTTTGGGTGGTCTCTCGTAGATTCTGAAGGGGGGGTGAATAGGCACATGATTCTTTCGTCGAGTTTGGGGACGAGAATGGCATTCAGTTTCTTTCAACTCGGAGATCTGCTTTCGCTGATGCGTCTGCGGGGCTTAGTGGAAATCAGTTCTTCCTTGTGATGTGCTAGGGGTCTTGTGTGTTCCTGTCCTGTGTTTGGAGTCCGAGGGTGTAGGGTGAAAAGTTGCGGCCGGAGGGCTAGGTCAAAGTACACTGTCACTGAATTGTCTCATGCATGTCAAAGCTGAATCTGACAGCCCTGCAGACCTGCGTCCGAACTGGAACGACTATTCTATGAGGACTACTGCTATGACGATACCTCCTAGTACTGCAGCTATGATGTATGTAGTTACTACGGTTGCCGTTGCCACCATTATCGCTGTCATACCTATGTCTTCTAGCATCAATAGTTTTAATACCTGTGGTAATCCTTGAGACGTTGTCGCTTTGATTTCTCGTCTTACTGTCGGAAATTGCGCGGTTGCTGGCCGGCATACAGGCTCGACTGAAGCCCGAAATTCCGAAATTCGACAAGCTCAGCGCAAGAAGGCTCGAAACACTGGGGCGCCTTAGCAGTTGTCGGCGGCGCAGCAAAGACCCCACCACCGGGATTGGATCCGGCCACCACCGAGGCCTTCTTGCTTTTCGACTTTAGGATCTGCTGCCTATAAGGCTTGGGGTTTCGCGTGGAGGATTGATAGATAAAGGTTCAGCTAGGGTTTAGGGGTTCCGTGTTTAGGGGCCTGGGAGGTTAGGGCTTCGGGCGTTAGCGTTTTGGATTTAGGGGACTGAGGTTTTCAGGGGCACTAAGGTTTCGAGCGTGTCAAGCAATTTCGGCTGGAGGAACTGAAGGGCTAACAACTGCCAACCTCCCGGTTGGGTCGCGCAGTGAAGGCCTCGCCCTATGTAGGAGCCTTAATAATTAGACTGGGGTTCTGCGAGAAATGCAACGTCTAAGTTTCATCAGATTGCCGAGCAGTGTGGGAAGTCGATGACGTTGCGTTCGGGTCTGCGTGCAGGGGACGGCCTGAAAGCGCCTGTGAGGGTCCTCTTTAGGGTTTAGGAGTTTAGGGTTTAGGGTTTAGGGTTTAGGGTTTAGGGTTTAGGATTTAGGGTTTAGGAGTTTAGGGTTTCGGGCAAGAATGCAGCACTCCAACCGGCACCCTGCGTTGCTGCACGCTGTGGACGACGCTGGTGGTTCATACCGCATACCATCATTGGGGCCACTGCTATACGAAGCCCGAGATGCTCAATAATTACGTCACCCCCCCGTCGTTTGGCAGCGCCTTTTCTTTCTTGCAGGCAATGCCCACGATCATTTTGGTATCCCCTAGTTGTGCAGCCAGGTGCAAGCTGCAGTGTCAAAGGCTTTCTTCGGATCCATGTGGATGGCTCCTTTCGAGCAATCCTCTCTGCACCTCCAAGACCTTTGTGAACCCGGAACCCCTCTGAAGAGCAGCAGCAGAAAGGGATTGGATATTCTTCTGGTGTGGGCTTTTGGTGACTCGTCCCACATTGTGCAACCGTCTCATCACGCCTTTTATGCAACCAATGGTCCTCTCTGCACTGTTGTCTCCAGCTGGAAGAGTAAAGTATCGTGCCGTCTCCTTGACACAAGGCTGTTTGCCTTTGCATCTTTGTCGCAGCATCCTAGTGGTCCCTGTCGTCAATGTGGACTTCAAGAGCTTGCCCACTGGAGTGAATACTTTCCTCATGTGATTCACCCCAGTCAAGGTTGGTATTCCACTGGCTTTGAGAGCA